GACACGTAACAAATTTGCACAGGTTAATGCGACGTTAGGTGGAAGGTGCGTGTTGTTGATGGTGTATACATCAATTTTCTCACCTAGCAATAGCTCCTGAAGCTCATGCTTCTGGCTTTGGCCACCATTCTAATTCCACGCGTATATGGTTTGAAAACCGTTGCAAACAGATTCTAGCCTTTTCATTGTTTTAAGCATGCTGGATAAATTTGTCGTTAGAATTGCTAACAGCTATCGTAATGTCGGTTGTGGTTATTGCTATTGCTGATCGGCTTTCGTTTGTAGGAGCATGACCAGTCAACTTTTAAAAACTAATGGAATAGTCAGCAAGTCTTGAAATTTTGTTCTCAAAAGTGAAGGTTAAGAGACCTCCAGGATAACGGTATTGTTTGTAGTGGGCACCCACGGAGTAGACTTGAGGGTTGCCTTACTCTTCCTGAGTTCCCTACGCTCGAATTTGAAGATGAAAATGACAGATAGTTCTTAATTTCAGCACCTTTTCTCTCTCACTTCCGGGTATAGGTATCAAAAAGCAGCGGAACGAAGGCTTCTTCCGTTCGCCTTTAATGGTTTCCATGGTATCCTCCATGTGCATTCACTTTACTTGAAGGGAGTGTAAATCTTCCTCAACAGCGAAAGGTCGAGTTCACGGCAATTTCCACAAGAATAAATTTAAAGGCTTTTCCTTAGGTAGTTGATAAGTGAAGTATTGAATTTCTGAGTTGGCTTGATCTCTGTTACAGAGCGACAATCAGTATGGTAGGAATTAACTTGAATTTAACGAGGGCATCTATGACCGTGGGTTCCTCATGCCGTTGGTTTGCAAAGTGAAAGAAGAAATACCACTTTTGTTTTATCTAAGTAGCGGAAGGTATCTTCTCTCTACGAGATCCAAACGGATGTTGTTCTTTTGTCTTATAGGTAGTGCCAGTAGCGCTGCCCATCTCAATGTCAACGGTGTGCTTGTAAAGCCTTTACAGGTTATTCCAGTCTCCGTAGATTTTACTAATCTTGCTACTCCTATTAAGCTATTATAAATTATATTACTATCATGATTATTACTAATATTTGTATTTTCTACTACTTAAATTATTACTCTTAATAATGTGACTACGCGTGGTTCTATTATTATTAAAAACTCGTCTTTAAAAGTATGCCTTACTACAAGTACTCCTATAATTATTAATAAAACTTACTATACCGTGAAGTTTCGTTATCGGTTGACTTAAAGTTTTCGCTTTTTCTTTAACCCTTAGAAAGAAGCCTTGATCTTTATTTAATAAAGTTTAATATATATTTTCAAGTAAGATAGTATCTAGATAAAGATTTTGAAAAATAATTTGTTAAACCTAGCATAGCTTGTTGTAGAGATTTTACTTGGGATATGATAAATGTCTTATATTCTATTCAAAATTAATTGTTGATCCTTTAACGTTTCTTATAACAAATTAAGCTTGCGTAACAGTAAATTAACTTTATTTCCACCCAATTCTCAGTCATAAAACTTTTTAGTTCAAAAAATGTCTTTATTCTTGTTTAAAAAAAAGTATTCTCTAGCTCTTTGTAAAACAAGGAACGCTACGTATATGTTTAAAAACCTTTTATAAAATTATTATATTACAGACTGCAATTCAGTAAGTGGCGTGCTAGATTTTCAAAGACGATATAAGTTAAAAATAACTGTTAATACTTTCCAAATAAAAATCGTTTTGTTACTATAATTGTTGACCCTGAGTTTAAAAAGGAGTCTTTTAGGGTACTTCACTATTTTATTTATTCAATACTAAATATAAAGTTAATATGTAACATATTTAGGAAAAATAACCCTAGCACAAAACAATCGCGCGTAAGCAGGAAATAACAAACACCAGCCAAAATAATCCCTGATTATTATATCTCGGAGCGCAACGAGGTAAAAATAGAGATATAATCCTCTTTACTATGTTGCCGAAAGACTATCTCAGGTTTGATACAAAAAAACGAATACCCTTCATTGTGCTATGAAGGGTATACTCTTTCCAAGAATAAAATTTTAATTGTTTTATTAGTTATCAGCGTAAACACTGTATAATAAGTGGCTTATATGAGTATAATAGATATTATTTAACGCCAAGAAATTATATATATTATTTATTAAACTATTCTGTATATTACCATACCCAAAATAGTCCCAGCCATACACAGGGGATACCTAAAACGAAAGGAGAGAAAGAAAACAGAAAGTCATAAAAAAAGGTCTTCCATGTGACTTTTATATCTTCTCCTAACCCTTGACCTTCACACCCTGTAGTTACAGTTTTCGAGAATCTACTGGAACTTTTTTTGTTTCATTACTTTGTCTCTAATCTCTTCTATTACAAAGTTTTAAGTAGTGCTCAAAGTAAATGAACTGAGTCATTGTGGAAGGAGGTAAGGCTTTTTTATACTCTTTTCAATCTAAAGTTAAGAAAGGAGCAAAGTAATACAATTAGTTATCTGGAAAGCAAAGTCTATAATTACTCTTGGCGTATCAAATTTACACTACTTTTACTACAACAGATAGGCCGTCTTTTTTATCTTGAAGATACTGGTATTATTATTTTAATAAGGCTAATAAACAATAACTCAAGTATACCTTATTTATATAAGTTTCGAACTGTTTAATGCTTATAAGTATAAGAGCTGCAAATGTAATTTTCCAAAGTTAATTGTCAAAAGAGTCGTAATTTTAATATTTTAACATTCAAGAGAAGCCAAAGTGAAAGAGTCAATGTATACCAAAAAAACTTTTATGTTGTAGTACAAAGTTGCTGTATATTTTTGGTTTTTTTTGCTTATCATGTTAAAAAAAAAGTTTCCTATTCCGAAATTTGTTGCTCTACCATACAATAGCTTTGATAACCAAAAATAAAACCATCGAAAGTGCACTGGTTATCGCTGAAAACAATATAATTTTCGTAAATACACCGTGATCGACAAAGAAGAGAAGAATTGGATGTAAATTCTCTGTTGATCTATTATATTAATATTAAAAGTGATAACAAAAGACAAGAACTCACAAGTTTCTAAAGTCGAAAGAAAGGGGAAAAGCACGTGGCCCGATTTCAGTTATATGATTGGATAATAAATTTCTTTATTTTATATAAAAGGATAATGAGCTTTTTATTAAAGATTTTACAATTCATTCTGTCAGGCTCATTATTTTTATTGTTGGGCGATTGGAAATAATTTTATGTGTCATAACGATAGGGCTTACTTACAATTGAGAAAGTTGGTTTATTATTAACAGAGTTTTAAGCTGCTTATTAATGCGGTTGGTGCTTTGTTTTTATTTTAAGAATAGTATATTTTGTTATTTAGAGCGTACTATTTTTTAGTTATAAGAATTGGTATTTTTTTAATTGTTTAAAGTGCCTTAAAATAATGTTATAAACATATTAATTAGTTTGGTTATATATAGAATTTTTAACTTTTTGTAACTATAGTGATAACAAACTTACGCTGTTATAAATTTGAAGGAAAATTTTAAAGTTTTATTGGAAAACTAAGTCAAATATGGAGATTTAAGTTTCCCACGACTATTAATTTTTTATTATTATTTAAAATAGAAACTTCTCTCATTCTTTCTTTTTATCTAGTTAACTTTTTTATGTAACAAGGAAAGGAGGAGAAAAAGTTATTATTAATAAAAAGTAATTTAAAAAGCAAATAGAGTAAAGACATTTTTACTCAAATAATTTAAAATAACGAACTAAATTAAATAATATATGTTGTGACTAAAGCAAACATATATAAAACTCTAAAAGGCAGCCGACAATTTTATTTTACTAATAATTAAAGCGCATTCCTTTCTTTTACGAGTAACCTAGAGGTATTTGATATTACAAAAATATGTTAACTATTGCAAAGTTTTTACTATAATTTTAAATATCGATGCAATGGTTATAGCGTTGGATAAATATGATAAAGTTATATCATTACTAATTTTACAAAGTAACACGGTAAAGCTCTAAAAATTTTTGCATCTAGTATAAACTAATGTCTGCTACGTTTTGTCGTTTTCTAGAGTTAACGAGCTTTTATTTATAATTATGCTAATAGTTATCGTTCAAGTAGGTTAATGACTTTTTACTTTAAAAAATAATTTGATAGAAATGACTCTATTTACGCAAATAACCTTAATAACCTTTTCCACAAGATCAAAGCTTGTAATTTGCATATGTTAACTTTTTAATATATAGTAAGTAACCTAAGCATACCCTAAACTTTCTATATATTATTTATTTTGTTTAAAGTTTGACCAAAATAGCTGATTTGCTTATGCTTGAACTTTTAGATAGATTTATTGCGGGTAACCCATTTACAGCTTTAGCTTATTAACATTTTATATAAAATAAACTTTTCTTTTTACCAACACTAATATCCACTTGTGTGCGCTGTTTCACCTTCTAGCGTGCAAATAATATTACTGTTTCTCAATTTTTTTTTACCTTATGATCGTAAAGTTATTTTGTTTTAAGCTTAATTAAGGCTTGAATAAATATTGTTTATGAGACTAATATTAATTGCCCAACCTGTTATTAGGTAATTTTAATATTATATTTACCTTTTAAATCATTAAAAGATAATAAATATTGGTAATTGAATTGGATAATTTTTTCTTTTTCTATTCTCTATTTGAAAGTTTGCGAATTAGTTTTACTTGCTCTTGAGATTTTTAAACATTTTTTATTTTTTGTAAATGATTTAGTTGGCGGCGCCTTTATTATACCTTCTAATAATAAACTTTATTGATAGTAAAACCTTTTCTATTAATTTATCTAAATTAGTAAAGTTAATGTTGTAAAGAAGTTAAAAGCAGACTTTGTATAAATAATTTTTTTTAGTTATATTTTAATGTGTCTTCTAGCGCTTTCAACCCCTCAACTAATTTATCACTGAAATCTATTCTTTTTCTTAATAATTTTTTTTTAAAAAATAAAAAAATAAAAAGTTTTGTAACGGAAGAAAAGCGAAGTTTGCTACTTACAGGTACTGGAGAGCGCTCAGCCCCGAGAAAGAATTTGCGCCAATATAACGGAGCTTATTATTGTTAAGGTACCTAATTAAAGGAAAACTGGTCAGTATTGCTAAATATCAAAAGTTTCCTTAAAAAAACACTTTTTAACTTTTCTAATATGTAAAGAACGTTAATAGTGTGGTAGTAATAACGACGAAAGTGCAGCAATTTGTGTAATTAGTGCATTCCTTTTTCCTTATTAGGGGTTATTTGTACACAAGTGAATCATTATTATTATTGAATTATTTTGATGAACATTATTATTAATGAAAATTATTACTATTATAATAATTATTCTAATATTGTCTATTCTTGTTATGCTTACTATTATTATACTTATTATTATAATTATTGCGTTAATAAAAAAAGCACAATTCCTCCAGTTTTTCGAGGCCTGCAAATATTTCTTCATCAATCGAAGTGAGCTTGTTACCGTAAAGTCGTCTAATATTTAATTAAAAAAAATAATTATATATAAAAATTTAAGTTTTAATTTTTTATCTCTAAAAAAATTTATATAAATTAAATAATAATTTTTTTTTCAAATCTCAATGAAAAGTTGCTGTATTCAATAAAAAAATTAATATAACGTATAACTTTTACTATAAGTAAAACAGAAAAACATACAAGCAAGTTAATTCCCTAAGATGAAGAAAGAATTTCGCTGGGATTGAGCTAATGTGGTTGTCTCCAAGAGCGCTAAGCACCACATGTAATAATAATTACATTATAAAAAAAGGTTTTTAAAAAGCTTTAAAAAGTAGTGAAAACATTAATTATTTTTATTTATAAGTTTAGATTTTTGAAAACAAAAGAATTATAAAAAAGGATCTAAAAAAAAATAAATATAAAATGAAAAAGTTTTTTTTAGCTTCTAAAAGTGAAATTTAAAAAATTTTGATAACTTGATAAAAAATCATAAACGAAACCTAAAAGTTTAAATTTTTTGTAAAAACAAATTATTTTGAAAAGTTAGTAAAATCAAAATTATTATTTATAATAAAAAAATTTTTAATAAAAATATATATAGAGTTAAAATTTTATTTTATATTTTATACTATAAAAAATTTATAAATTTTGGGAAAAAAGTACAAATAATTAAAGAAAGTTTCATAAAAATTTAAATTACTTATTATTAGAAGGGAAGACTTTAATAATAATAAAAAATTATTATAACGATATAGTAAATAAAAAATTGTTTGTTTTAAAAGTATCAAAATAAGTAAATAAAATATTAACAAATTAAAAAAATTTAACTGTTTTTTCTTAGAAATTAAAAGTTTTTGAAGTAAAATTTTTGTATAGAAATTATTAATTATGAATAGAAGATATTTAAAAAATTAACTTTTTTTACTTTTTTCTTTTTAAATAAAATCTTTTTTTGCTTTGGTTTATTTATTATAATTACTTTTAAAATGAATATATTTATTTATTTTCTTTTTTAATAATTAAAATTTTTATAATTTAATAAAAAGCAATTTAATTTTTATAAATATTTATTATATATTATAAGCAAAGAAACTCTTATTTATTATAATAAATAAACAATTGTAATATATTATTTATATTATATTAAAAGAGCAACTTTTAAAGAAAAATAATAAAATTTATATTAAAAATTAGCAATTTGAAATGAAAAATTTAATTATATTAAAAAAAAATTATCAATTTTGTAATTGAAGTTGTTAATTAATATATAAAAATCCAATTTTAACTAAAATTATATGAATTTATAAAAAAGTTTATTATAAAGTTTTTAATAGATATTGTTTCAAAATTATATTAATAACTTATTTAAAAATTTGTAATTTATTATTATCAAAACAAAAAATTTTTAAAAATTATAAATTTAAATAATTAATTTAAAATAATAATGAAAAGTAAATCATTTTTATATATAAAAAATTTTCTTTATAAATAAATTTTAAAAAATTTTTTATAAGCAAAAAAATTAATAATTTGTTATTAATAAATTGATGAAATATTAAAAAAAATAGTATTTTACTATTTATGAATCTATAAATATTTAAAAACTAAATAATTAATGTTAATTATAAAAGTAAATCAATTTTTTTATTAAATTTTTTTTTAAAAAGTATAAACTTTAAATAATTATTATAATAAAATTAATAATTTATTATTAATAAATTGATAAAATATTTAAGTAAATAATATTTAAAATTAAATCAAATTAGTTTATAAAAACTTTTCATTTTCAAATTAATTATAATAATTTTTTTAAGAAATAATTATTTAATTTTTTGTAAATAATAAATAAAAAAAAATAATAATTAATTTTTAATAAATTTATGATTTATTAAAAAAAAATAATAAATAATTAATATTATTAATAAAAGGTAAATCAAATTTTTTTATAAATAATTAAAAAAAATAATATTATTCAATACATTAATCGATAAAATTTAACAAAAATATTATTTAAAGTTAATCATTAAAAGTTAATCAACTTTATTTATAAAAGTTTTTTGAAGAATAAAATAAAAATTAAATTTTGAGAAAATAATTTATTGATATCAGAATTTCATATAAATAAAACAATAAAACATTAAAAAGAACAGAAAAAATTTTAGAAATTTATAATAAAAAATTAATAAACATTTAATAAAAAATTTTTAATAAAAAACGAATTTTTTTTTAAAGAAAGTATTAAACTTAAAATAAAAAAATAAAATAATTTTATAATTAAAATAGAATAAAACAATAAATAATTAAAAAAAAATTTAAGAAATAGAGAAAAAGTTAATATTATTGTTATTAAGCTAATAATTTGTTAAAATTATTAATGAAAGTTCATAGTATTTATTAATAAAAAATTTATTTTTTTAAAAAAATATTAAACTTTAAAAATTAACAAATAAAAGTTATTAAATTTAAATACAAAATAAAACATTAAAAAATTTAAAGAAAATTAAAAAATACACAAAAAAGTAAATAAAAACAAAATATATTACAAAAAAAAAAAGAAATAATTAATAACAAATTAATAATAAAAGGAAAATAATTTTTCTATAAAAACTTTTCATTTCAATTTTTTTTAAAATAATAATAGTATTAAACTTTCATGAAAAAAATAAATACAAAAACTATAAAAGGTTTAATTATAAATAAAACTAAAAATATCTAATAAAATAAAATTAAAAAATTTTAATATAAATTTTCAATAAAAAAATCATTTAAAAAAACTTTACACAAATGGAATTTTTATAAAATTTAAAAAAAATCATAAAATTTTTAAAAACAATAATTTAATTATTTTTTTAACTGTATTAAAACTTTAAATAAATATAAGAAATGAAAATATAATTAATATTAATAATAAAAAATTAATGAATTTCGAATTAATTATAAATTTTTCAATAACACATTTTTAAAAAGTGAATAAATTTAAAAATTATTTAAAAGTAAAAATATAATTTTTATCAATTTAAAAAAAAAATTTAAAAGTATTTTTTTTAAAAAATTATAAAAATTTAATTCATTTATAATAATTTTGGTTAAAATAAAATATTTTAGAAAAAATAATAATTTGTAATAAAAAGTTTTGAAAATTTATTAAATGAATTTATATAAAATTAAAATATAATAAAAATTAAAGAGAGGTTCTATTTACTTGAAAATTTGAAAATATATTAGAAGAAAGAATTATTTAAGAAGAATATTACTAATTATAATTATAAATAAAAATTTATTAATAAATATTTTTTAATACAAAATAATTTATTTAAAAAAACTTTTAAATTAAAAAAATATATTTAAAAATATTAAAAAATTATTATATAAAGTATATTAAAAACAATAAAGTGATTTACTATAGGAAAGTCGGAGTACTAAAAATATTATAAACCAAAAAAAAAACGGCAGCGGGAGCGCGAGCCAAACTTATATAACTACATCTACACTGCATATATATATATATATGTATAATGAAAAAATATATATTGGATATATTTTTAAATAATAATGTATAAATAAAATAATTATAAACCTTACACTTCATATTTATATAAATTGGAGAGAAATTATTAAAAATATTCTAAAAAAAAACTTGAACTTTCATAAATAATACTATAACTTAAAATTTTTTTTTGCACTGTACATTTATATAAAATGAACAGAAAAATATTAAAAATATTCCAAAAAACTTGAAGTATAATTAAATAAAATAATTATCAATAAATTAAATAAAAAATTTACAGATACTGCAGGTTGCTAAGTTCGGCAAACATATTTTTTTCTAAAATATCGATCTGATTTCCTGCTAACCACCTTCGTTTTTTAGTATAAAAAAATAAATTTTTTTTAACAGTATTATTATAAAAAATATGGATTTATAGTATTATAAATTTAAAAAATGAAACACTAGATAATTTAAATGAAAATTAAAAAGAAATTTTTTAAATATAAAATTAAATTTATTTATAATAAAAATTCAAATTTAAAAAAAATTAAATAAGTTTAAATTAAAAAAAGTTTTTATACAAAATTTAATTTATTAAATTCATATAAATAAAATTTATAATAATAAATGAATTTACAATTTTTTTATATTTATATAATAATAAAAAGTAAAAAAAAGTAAACAAATAAAGTTTTTTATTACAAACTAAATATTTAAAATTATATAATAACAAATTATTTATGTATAAAATATTTTTTTTAATAAAAAGTTTTTTGGTATACTTACTTTATAAAAATTATAAAAGGTAAAAAAAAATTAAAGCGTTCAGTAATAATATTAAAAAATAACTTTCCTTCAGAAAAGTTTTACTTATTTTATAAAATTTATAATGTTTACAACAATTTTTTAGAGCATTAAATATTAAAAAAATAAATTTACTGTAAAATTCGTAAATATAAATAAATTAAAAAGTAAAAAGTTTTGACCCAATAAAGTAATTGTAATAATATATAATTATAAATGTGAAAGTTGATAAAATAATAATTATAACTTTTTAATAATAAAAAATTTTTGTCTAATTTTAGTAATAAAGTTTCTATTAATATATAAATTAATTTTATAATAAATTCATTATATTATCAAAATTTAATAATTAAAGTTTTTCAGTTTTAAGTTTCTATACTTTTTTTAAAAGTTACTAAAATTATTGTTTATCTATAAAATCAATTATAATTATATTTTCTTAAATCTAAAAAAAAATTTAATTATTATTTTTAATTTTTATATATTTTCGTTTAAAATTAATATAAAAAAATTAAATTAATAATTTATAATATAATTTTGTAATAATTTTATTTTAGTAATTTTCAAAGGAAAAAAAGTTTTAAAAAGAAGAATTTATAATTAAAGTTTTTCAATTAAAATTTTCGTTATTAACTTCGAAAGATTACTAAAATTATTGTTCAAGTTTTTTAAAAAGAACATAAATTTCGTAAAAATTTTTTTTTCTAAATTTTAAATAAAATATGTAATTATCATTTTTTTAATTCTATGGATGTGCATTTTTAGTAATAATAAAAATAACCGATTCAAAAATTTATTGTGTTATAAAAATTTTGAAAGGAAAAAAGTTACGGATAGAAGAATTAATAAGTAAATTTAAAATTTCTATACTAATTTAAAAAGTTACAAAATTATTGTGTAAAATTGTAAACAATTAAAAAAAATTACTTCTAAAATTTTTTTTAAATCTTAAATGAAAAAATTTATTATTTTTTTAATT